TCATGTGTGGTGTGAGGAAGGGATTGAGGTCTTTTTTTTAAATGCAGAAATTTTGTAGCTCTGTCACGATTTATTTTGGCTGTTCATATATATTATTTTGTGAAGTGTATGTTCAAATCTTGTCTGTTTAAAAAAATGGGTTGTTGTCTGCTTATTGAATTCTAAGAATTATTTTATATATATTCTGGATATAAGACTTTTTCAGGTACATGCATTATGAATATTTTCTCTCAATCTGTGGCCTATCTTTGTTAATTAATGCAAATTTTTTTGAAGAGCAGAAGATTTACATTTTGATTAAGTCCATTTTACCCTTTCTTAAAAATATATTTTTTTTATTGATTTCAGAGAGGAAGAGAGAGGAAGAGAGAGATAGAAACATCAGTGATGAATGAGAATCATTGATCAGCTGCCTCCTACACGCACCCCACAATGGAGATTGAGCCTGCAACCCAGCCATGTGCCCTTGACCGGAATCGAACCTGGGACCCTTCAGTCCGCAGGCTGACATTCTACCCACTGAGCCAAAACAATTAGGGCCATTTTACTTTTTTAAAATGACTTAGTGCTTTTTGTGACTTACCTAAGAAATTTTTCTGTATCCCAAGTTTATAAACATTTTCCCTGTTTTCTTCTATAAGTTTATGTTTAGATATATAATCCATTTTTGAATTACTTATTATGTTTGATTTGATGTAGGTGTTGATGTTTGTTATTTTTCTATTTGGATCCAGCACCATTTATTGATTGTCCTTTTCCTGTTGAACTACCTGTGCACCTTTGATGAAAAGCCAATGGAATGTATATGTGTGGGTCTATTTCTGGACTCTGTTCTATTCCATTGATCTAAATTTCTATCCTTATGTCAGTAACACACAGTAATGTCAAGATTACTGTAGCTTTATAGTAGTCTTGAAATTAGGCCATGGTTGCAGTTCTTTTGGCTACACTAGTTCCTTTACATTTTCCATGAATTTGCAAGATTGTTTCGGTACTTGAAAATCAATCAATATGGTTTACCATGTTAACCTATTAAAGGAGAAAAACCATATGGTCATTTTGATAAATGCAGAAAAAGCATTGGGCAAAACTCATTTGTGATAAAAAACAAAACAAAAAACTTTAGCAAACTAGAAATACAGGGGAACATCTCAGTTTAATAACGGACATTTATAAGACACCTAGAGCTAACATCATATTAAATAGTGATACATTGAATACTCTCCCTCTAAGACTGAGAATGAGACAAGGATGTGTGCTCTTTATACTTATTTTAGCTTCAATATTGGAGATCCTAGTTAGTGCACTAAGGCAAGAAAAGATAATAAAAGGTACACATTTTGGAAAGAAAGAAGTAAAACTTTCTTTGCAAGCTAATTGGAGACTGTGTTTATAGTGAGGATTCCCTTTGTAAGTTTTACAACTGAGAATTAACCTGTTATAAACAAACTTTTGTGATCCTCCATTTTACTATATTATCAGTGTAATAGTGCAAAAATATTTGAACTAATCAACCTACTAGTCAACTCCTGATATCTAATATATACAGAGTATAAATATTAGGATATCTCTGGGTCACAAGGCTTGCATCCCAGGCTGAAACTTTTCTAATAAAGAGAGTAGAAGTCATGAAGGGTTAAGTCTTTGGGGTCTTGGAAAAGGACCCAGATTAATAAACCAGTGCCTTTGGGGAATGTTTTAAAAGCTTTGTCTCTATGTGAGTTATGGAATTTCCATCACAATAGTCCAGAGAAAGGAAGTCCCAAGGGAGTGGAGCAGCAGAGAGCCAGTGGTGAAGAAAGAGTGAAGACTGACTCATCATGTAGGGTTTGGGTGTGGGTGTGCAAACTTACAACTGTGCACAATATGTGCATGTGGTAGGGAGAAAGGGAGGAAAGGGTTGTGCAGACAAAATGTTTTCTTTAATCTCTTTGCAGAGTGGGATTTCGGGAAGAGAATGCATAAGTAAATAACTGTGGCTGGTTGTTTGTCATACATGAGATACTCAAAGGGACTCTATAAAACTGTAAGTTCAAAGATTCAAATAGAACTGTTAAATTCTGTTACAAGCTTTGACAGTTTACCTAGTATTTTTTTTCCATGATAGTGAAATTTCTGAGAAATTTTCGCTTTCTTTAATTAGATGAAAAGTTCTCCTAGAACTTCAGATTAATTCATAGTTATGCATTGTGTTTTTCTACCTCTTTATATTTCTTTATATTGTTCCTTCTGCCAAAAGTCTCCTTTCTCCTCTATGGATACAAGTAATTGCTACCTTTCTGTAAAGGACCCCTCCACCAGAGCTTTATTAATCTTAGTTCATGGCCATCTTGTCTCCTGAACTCTGTAGAATATATTGGTGCATAACAAATATTTGACAGTTGTCTGATAAAATAGTTTTTGTTGTTGTTAAACCCTGCCTCTTTCCAACACACAATCAGAAAAGACAATATGCTTGTGTTAAATATTTTTCTAATTTAACTATTCTTTATGACACAAAGGATTTCATTTGGTTTAGGAGCATAAAATTGGAAATACATTAGGAGTTAATGAATCTAACTTTCCCTGCAATGCATGAATTTTCTATACAGCCTTTTTGTTATATCACATGTCTGTACTCTTAAATATGTCACTCACATATTCTGAGCCTTATCCATAAAAGGGAGATGATAATAGTACTCACCTTTATTGGGAAAAGTTGGATGCGAATGACAGAAAACCTGAAATAATTGTGGCTTAAACAAGATAGAATTTGCTTTTTTCCTTATACTCCAGGAAACAAGCACCCAGGCTTCTACTTTGTTTTTGTTTTTTTATATGCAAGGTGTCCATTCTCATCTTCACCTCATGGCGTAATATGGCTACTCTAGCTCCAGGCATCATGCCTTCCCTCCAGCCAGCAGAAAAGAAAAGGAGGAGGAGGAAAGGGTATGCCCTGTCTTTTCAAGGACACTTCCCAGAAATTGCAAACCACTTTGGCTTGTATTTCATTAGCCGTAACTTAGTCACCTGGCTACATCTAGCTCTAAGTGAAACTAATAAAAAAGGGACTATCTGGCCCTGGTTGGTTTAGCTCAGTGGATAGAGTGTCGGCCTGCGGACTGAAGGGTCCCGGGTTCGATTCCAGTCAAGGGCACATGCCCGGGTTTCGGGCTCGATCCCCAATAGGGGGCATGCAGGTGGTAGCCGATCCATGATTCTCTTTCATCATTGATGTTTCTATCTCTCTCGCTCTCCCTCTCCCTTCCTCTCTGAAACCAATAAAAATATATATTTAAAAAAAGGGGGAGTATCTGCTTGGCTAAAATTTAGTGGTTCTATTATTGAAGAAAATGATAACAAATTTTGAGGACAATTAGCAGTCTTTGCCACCCGATTGATATTGTTGTTATAAAGATTAAATGAGATAATATGTATACTGTGCTTAGAGCATGCCTGACATATGATACATCCTCAATAAGTATTAGCCATTGTTTTCTGTAATTAATCTTTGTAGGTAGTCATCATTTATTATTTGTTCAACACACATGAATACCTGCTGTGCTTATACTATGCCTTTCTCTATTTAAAGTCCTCTATCAGCAATTAGGAGAAGACTACCATCCAAGATAGCTTGTCCTTTGTTGAACAACTCTAAAAGTTAGGGAATTCTTTATTAAACTAAGCCCAAACACTTCTACCCAATAATTCATTTGTCTTTACCCTGATCCTACCTTTAAAAAAAAATTATATATATATATATATAATATATATATATATATATATATATATATATATATATATATATATATATATATGGCGTCCCAAAATTCATGCAAGATTTGAATTTTGTGTGAGCATTAACAACAACAACAAAAAATTAAAGCCTAATTTTATTTGGTTTATTGAATCAAATTCTAATATCTGTTGCCCTTTGATTTCAATCCCTTCAATTTGATAAGCATTACCAAGTACCAATTATGGCTCAGGAGCAGGGACAGTGAAGACCAATGAAGACCATGGCTTTGCGTATGTGCCAGCAAAGCCGTGGAGGCCATTTACCCAATGTGCTATTCCATACATAACCCTATACTGTATACTTTATGAATCAATAAAAAATTTACAATTTTTAATTATAAACCTGTGTTTTCTATCAAAATTACTTCTTGCGTGAATTTTGGGATACTATATATATATATATATATATATATATATATATATATATATATATATATATATATATATATATATATATTCTATTGTTGATAGTATTACAGATATCTCCTGTTCCTCCCCACCCCATTACCCCCTTCCTCCCAGTCCCTACCCAACCACCCTGAAACAATATGAAACAAGGCTATTTCCTTATTTCAGTTCTGCAAATGTATGAAGATTGCTGTCAAGCCTCCCACTTGGTTCTCTTACTCTAAACAAGCATTTCATTAACTCATTTATCTAGTGTATGGTTTGGCAGGCATTTTCTATAAAGAGCCAGATGGTAAATACTTTTGGCTTTTTGGGCCACATGGCCTCTGTCACAACTTTTCAACTCTACCATTGTAATGCAAAGGCAGTTGTTTAAGAGAAAAGGATAAATTTGGTGTCCATTACTCCATTTTGATTGGAATGAGAAATTCTGAAATATTAAATCAGAAAAATTAATACCTAAAGCATTAAAACTAACCTCTTTTTTATCTTTAAATTTTTTTAAAAAATTACAGTTGACAGGCAATAGTACGTTAGTTTCAGGTATACAGCGTAATGATTTGACATTTATGTAACTTACAAAGTGATCACCCCCAATAAATATAGTACCCATCTGACATTATACATAATTATTGCAGTATTATTAACTATATTCCCTATGCTGTACTTTATATCCCTGTGACTGTAAAACTAACTTCTGATTGCAAAACTCCTTCCCCCAAATTGGTTCATATTTTGCATTAGCTTAGAATTATGAGTTCATTAAAAAATTCATTTAATTCCACAGTGTTTGACATTATCCCTTTCTCTTACAGGAAACATTCAAACTGGAATTTTAAATCATTACAAGTCAGTGATGGATCACAAGTTGCAGAATGCAATCCTGAATAGAATTCTTCGAAAGAATTGCTTTAAATAACAGAGGAAAGAAAATTATCCATCACTCTAAAACCCTGATCTAGAAAAACCTATTGCACATACTAGGAAGTTAAAACTGGGGAAATTTAACTGACTCTTAATGCACCTGAATCAAAGGAACTGTCGCTTTGTTTCTCAAAGGAATTTTATATCTGAGATTATTTTAATAGCCAATCATTTTATTAGAATCTTGACATGATCATCAGGAAGGAGAAACAGAACAATCGGTAAAGCCCGTGTGTTGGTCAAGATGACTTCTGAAGAAATGGCAGCTTCTGATCTCATACCTGTGACTCAGAGAAAAGTGGTGTCTTCTCAGTCAGCAGCAGATGAAAGTAGTGAAAAGGCCTCAGGCGTCAGTGTTCCAAAGACACATACTCCTGGGCAGAGTAGGCCGACTTCTCATACCATCTCAAAACTGAACAAACCCAAAGAGGAAACTTCTGGAAGCAACTTGCCTAGGATTTTCTCAACAACAAGGGGGAAAATCATGAGTGATGAGAACAGTAATGAAACGTGCTGGGAGAAAAACATGCCCGATTCTGTGAAGAACCTTAACGTGAACGGCAACAACATATTGGAAAACCGTCAGTGTGGTCTTCCTCAGAGCCAGTTTTACAAAACATGCGATTCTGTTGTAGAAGAAGGCCTGCATTTGGAAACTGGAATCTCTTCTTCCCTGGAAAGAAAGGTGTTCCCTGGGATTCAACTGGAACTAGACGGACCTCCCATGGGCATTCGTCCCTTAGAAAATCAATCAGCAACCAGCAGGGCACACCCTGACAGCGATTTGGCGGTATTTCACTTTCATTATGAACTTGACAGAAGAATGTCAGACAGTGTCTGTACCCTATCAGACAACTTGATTTTGGATGATTGTGGAAACTGTGTATCACTGCCTGATGTTGGTAGGGAGCAAAAGAAAAATTATATGGCATATACTTGCAAACTGATGGAATTGGCAAAAAGCTGTGATAATGAGAACAAGCAGCTACAGGGTGATCATTGTGACGCCTTGAACGATGAATACATGTGCTGCGAAGCTTCCTGCCGAAAGGCCAGCGTGGTATGTTCTAGTGACAGCTTCTGCAGGGAGGGTTTTACTGATAGTCCATCTGCCGAGACTTTTCTGAGCCATTTTGAGGACTTCCCTGATAATTGTGAAGACGTAGAAGATTATTTTAAAAGTAAAAAGGAGCGATCCACTTTGTTAGTGAGGAGATTTTGTAAAAATGACAGAGAAGTTAAGAAATCTGTGTATACTGGGACAAGGGCAATTGTGAGGACTCTGCCTTCTGGTCACATTGGACTGGCAGCTTGGAGTTACATTGATATGAAGAGAAGTGGAAGCTTGTTGCCTTGTGGGAGAGTAACGGGCCAGCTATCAACAGTGCTGGTTAGGCAAGATGGGAGCCCCTGTCTGTCAGAAGCCCAGTGGTATCCGGTAAGAGTGAAAGTTTCTTTCGATCATTTTTTTAAGCTTGATATTTCAAAATCCAAATTTTCATTGTCTTAATTCATGTAAAATTTTAAATTCTGTCCAATTATGATTTACAGGGGAAGTATTTGTAGTTATTGGAAACAAGTAGATATAACAGTTACTCCAATGGATAGCTGTCAAGGCTGAGTTAACTCTGCAACAATATAGGTAACAAAATATGCATATGTATGCCATCAGGAGTGGAGACATTATAGAGATTCCCTGGTTACTGTGTGTGGAATTATAAGAAAGAAACTCCTGGTAGTGGAAAAACTCTGAATTTTGTTGTGTCCTTCGGAGATATATGCCTGTGTCTTCTTTTATTGTGCTTTTAGTTTGCAAGGCCGAAAGGAACTTAAAGTCCGGTTTCCTCCATTTTCCAACCAGCATTCCCAGTTGCTTCCCTCTTCACCTTTTTTGTGCCATGGGCCCCCTTTGGCCATTTGGTGAAGCCCATGGACTCAGAATGCTTTTAAATGCATCGAATGAAATACAAAATGTTATAAAGGACACAGATTATGTGGATATAAATTTATGAAGACATTTTTTGAAATTATGACATAGCAGGGTAGGCACTTCTTTATTAGCACACTAAACGATCGTACCCAGTGACATGCTAACTACCTTAACTTCAAAGTAGTGATGAATCTAGGTCAGGAATGGTTTGCCTGTGACTTTCCCAGTTTTATCATCCCAAGCATCTCAAGCCTGGGCATACAAGGGCAGTTGGTCACACTAAATATAAATACTATTGTAGGGTGTCTACTATGACTGTAATATATGGAAATATTTGTGATTTCTATTGGTGACAAGATCATAGCTGCTGCTGCTACTACTGAGGTTTGTTGCCTATATTCATAATTGAAGGAAATGTTAAATTTCTAACTCTCACATTCTGGTGTTTCACAATTTCTTAAAATTTGGCCCTATAAATAACTACCCAGTCTAGGAAAACACCCTTTTTATTGAAATATAACTGGCATATTTTTACTTTCATCAACATCAATATGGTAGCTAATATTTGTGCATTTTACATGTGTCAGGCATTGGGTCAAATAATTTATTCTTTTAAAAAATACATAGTTTTATTGATTTCAGAGAGGAAGGAAGAGGGAGAGAGAGATAGAAACATCAGTGGTGAGAGATAATTGTTGATTGGCTGCCTCCTGCACTCCCCCTACTGGGGATTGAGCCCAAAGCCTGGGCATGTGCCCTGACTGGGAACTAACTGTGACCTCCTGGTTCATAGGTCAGCATTCAACCGCTGAGCCATACCAGCCAGACCAAATAATTTATTCTTGATTTCATGCAATCATCTTAATTCCCCTCTGGTATTGGTATGCTTATTAACACTGTAGTATTGCTAAGAAAACTGAGTCTTAGAGAAGTCATGTACGCTGTCCAAGGTCGCTTAGCTAATAAGTGGTGTAACCAGGATTGTGATCCAGGCAGTCCACACTCTTAATTCCTCAACATCTAGAAAGAAATAAAATTTAGAGTAAGCTTTTAAAGGAACAGACAAATTCTGTTCATTTCAGCACCTGTTGACTTAGTAGCCACATTCACTGATGCTTAGGTTTTTCGGACTTGACTGTGTTTGATATGGTGCTTCTAACCCTGTTACATGTTTGAATCACAGTGTCCATTTCCCCCCAATCCTCCACCCCCCAGACCCTCTGAATCAGAATCACTAGGGTAGGGCGCAGCATGAATATTTTTTTCAAAATTCCTTTAGGTAATTCTGTGATTCTGTGGAGTTGAGAGCCACTGACCAGGAGCTTAAATTCTTTGGTCTTCATCTGGACATTTGGGGACTGTTTCCCCTGCCCTAAAGACCATGACACTGCCAGGGCTCTCAGGAGTGTCAGGCCTGACCAGGGAGCCTGAAGGCCCTTCTCGCTGTGCATTCGACCTACCCTTCACCCCACCAAGTGTCAGCAGGTTTGTTTTTACTTCTTCACCTGATACCTCATGAAACCTGAGTCATAGTCAAGGTGGTGTCAGTTACCCACATGCTCCCCAGCTCTTCTGACCGAATTCTGAATTTTGTCGATGCAGGGAGAAAGAGGTTCATCACAGCAATGTGTCAGCCCACTTAAAAAGGCAGCAATTCACATTTACCTGAAGTTGAACGTTAAGAACACAATAGAAATTTAAATATAGCAAAGTGAGTGGAAGTAGATTGTTTGAGAACCGTTATCATAGTCCCCCCCCGCCCCCCCCAAACACACACACTTATGCAGACACAAGGACTGTGAATGTGCTATAAGCTGCAGGATAACTTTTGGTATGCCTGTACTTATCCTCCAGTTCCTGCAGCCCTACTACTTCTGAGAGTGTTCACAGGTCCTTAGCTAAAATCTGCCTCTTTCAGCCTGTCAGAGGCCCTGGATTGGTCATTTCTAGTGAAAAGAACCGAAGAGATGAGTCAAATCACCTCCTCCCTCCTTCTAGTCTCTGGAGGCTGGGAGAGGTCACCACATCTCAGTCAGAGTCAACTCCAGGAACTTCTGTCTCCTCTCTGACTGGGTTTCTGGGAGGTGGTGGGCATTTTTATTAATCCTTAGCATGAAGCTGGAGGATGGGCTGACTGTCCTCCTGTCCTTTCTCAAGGGAGAGTTCTGAAAGGCAGAGACCTTTTTGAACATCCATTCTATGGCAGGAATGGATCAGTATTTTCTAAAGTATGGTATTCTCCTTGTATGTTATGTTTTGTCTTGTTTTCAGTCTGGTGGAAATCCTTCTCAAAAGTTGCACAGATGAATTTTAGCCACTTTCCCTCAGCTCCTGTAAAGTGCTTCCTTCAGCTAAAAAAAAAAAAAAAAAAAAAAAAAAAAATGCAGATTCTAATGTTATGCTTGTAGTTCCAATGTTCTGATTATTTCACACTAGAGGCCCGGGAGGAGGGTGGGGGGTGGTCCTTCAGCCCTGCCTGCATCCTCTTCATTCTGAGATCCCTTGGGATCGGGTCTAAACCAGCAGTCGGACATCCCTCTCGCAATTGGGACCACTGGCTCCTAACCGCTCACCTGCCTGCCTGCTTGGTCACCCCTAACTGCTCTCCCTTGCCACCCTGGTCGCCCCTAACTGCCCTCCCCTGCTGGCCTGGTCACCCCTAACTGCTCTCCCCTGCCGGCCTGATTGCCACTAACCACCTCTGCCTTGGCCCCTGCCACCATAGCTTTGTCCGGAAGGATGTCCAGAAGATGTCCAGTCTAATTAGCATATTACCCTTTTATTAGTATAGATGTGTCCCCCAATCAGACTGTAAATGTATCAAGGGCAAAAAATGGCCCTACCTTTTTTCTACTCTCCATAATGCCAAGTATATAGAAAACAGAACGATATCAGACTAAGAAACACGGTCTTTGGAGTCAGTTGGCAAGGCCTCATGCAAAGTGGGTGCCACTGCTCTCACTCCAGTCACTTATTACATACTTTGTCATGCACATGTCCCCAGCCTGTGCTCTTGGTAGCTTCTGACATGGGCAAGTTTACAGTGGTATGAATTTGAATGTATGTCCCTTAATCTATGATGTGGTCGTTTGAACAATCCTCCCCACACATTTAAAGCATGTGTTATTTATCCAATTAGTTCCTTTGCCTCACTTAACTTTTTTTTCCTTGTGTGCCTTTGTCAAAATGACCCAATTACTTTATATTTGCACAGCTGTTCAGAGGAGCATGGATTTGAATGGGAGACATTAATGAGGATTAATGCTGGCTGCCTGACTAACCATATTGGTATCCTCCTCCCTGCTTGTAAAAAATTAAAACCCTACCCCTTATCCAGTTACAGCCACACTCCCTTTCTCCTGCTTTCAATTTATTGGCTCACAAAGATGATATATTTTGGCAAGTGGCTAAAGTGTCCAAGTTAGAGATTGGTTAAAGGGTGTTTTCCCTTTTTTAAAAAAATTCTCTCTCTCCCTGAATTTTGGGGAGTTTAGGTACCTAGAATTATTCTGAATCCGAAGTACAAGAAGTTCTGCCTCTGCTGGAACCAGTCATGTAACCTGAGTTCCGTGTGCACTGAATGATGGAGCGTGGAGGAAACGAGGGTAGCCAGGGCCGAAAGTCCACCAGCTCCTGTAATTACCGCTTTATTTATGTCCCTGCTGGGATCCACAAGAGGATTTAATGTACAATAGGTACAACAAAATAGAAAAAAAAGTGAAGTTTTAAGAAATCAAAATAGAAAAATTATAAATTATAAAGGAAAGATAAAACCAGCTTCTATGTTGCTAGTTCCTTTTCTGCTTTCTTCCTTCTAAAATGTGTCTTCACATTTTTTCTACTCTCCAATACAGAAAATTAAACTTAAGAAGCTATGGAAAATTTTTTGAGTGTTTAATATAAATACTTTTGTTGGTATTGTTGGTATATATGTCCTTGATTCTATATTTTCTGTTACATGTAAAGGGGCCAACCAATAACAAATTCATTTCCTGTTGTAACTTTTATGGGTGATCAAATATCTCTTGAGCCCTGCCGTTCAGTGTTGTTAATAGATGGCTGGTGAAACAGCAACATGTCTTGTTTTCTCGTCTGGGAATTTGGTCTCCCTGCATCTTGGGTACAGTTTGGACCTTGAACTAATTAAATTTCACAGGGAGCACAGGCTAAGCTGACAGCCTGTGCTTGGTGACATGCAGGGCCTCCTCTTCCATGACTCAGGGTTATGTCAGATTCATGGCGTGGCTATAGGAGGAGGCTGGCCCCTTCCTGCTGAGCACAGTGAAAGGGAATCCAGCTCCCGGCCAGTCCCTGTGCAGTTTAGTCACGTCTAGTGCATCAGTGGAAAATGTGACGGGCCGTCAGAGGCCAGCTCTGTGATAGTTGGTCAACTTTCACTTATTAGCTGCATTGGGACAGTTTAGGGTAAACTTACTTCCACACTGTAGTTACTTTACACCAGCTCTTTGGCCAAAAAATGGAATGAAAAACACTGACCCTGGCTGGAC